CCAGTGATTTAATTGATAAGTATCATAAGATAAACAACTTATTAGACCTTAAGTTAATTAGGTTATTGAAAGAATTTGCGGAAATATTTCCTCCAGACCAAGGAAATGGTTTCAACCGTTTAACCATTTGGACAACAGTATTTTCACGGATGAAAAATTTTATAAGCCTGATTTTCCAATAACATCCAAACCAACATTTTCATCAATAGTAAAGCCCACTAAATCCAGTACATTGGTCTTAGACCCTAAAATCAACCCATTCGATAATATGGTGGAAAGTAATTTGGGGGCTACCAAAGAAAAATTACACAGTAAACTTAATCCAAATGCCGATGTCTTTATACCAACAACCTTGGCGACCAAAGAATTTTCACATTATTTAAATAAAGACTCGTTAATAAATAATGTTATCACTCTGTGTACATTGTTGTATAAAACTGTTATATTTAGAATTAAAAAATTTCCATTGTTTTTAATTACCACAATAATATTTTGGATTCTTTATACTCATTTAGCATCTTGTATATACCTTCTTCCTTTATTGTTTTATATCTTACCTCTACCCATGCAAACAAACCTACATATCTCTTATAAAATGTTCTTGATAAAATGGACCGTTAGAATAGTGGAATATATAAATTAGTATATAAATGTAATGTTGGACTATATGAGGCGATATGATAATTTTAATCAAGCTATAAACTCAAATTATATATGACCTTGAAGACTTGAATATATTACTTTAAAATGTGAACATAAAAACACTTAATGCGTGTGTGGGTTTAAATAGCCTATAAATATCTTTAGCGACCTTACAATATGCAGAGGCTAGCGCTTATCGTTAGTCGGGTATAACAACCCCGCATACCTCCGTTCGTTTTGTCTGGTGTAGGACAGACAAGATGTAAAGGCCTACAGATATATTTAGGACAATAGTAATAAGTTAATTTACGTATAGTAATACGATAGAACAACTATAGGATTAGTATAAGCGTTTTTATAAGATAAACTATCGAGGGTTAAAAGAAAAAATAAAATTTTGGATTTTTAAACACATCATCCTCTAAGATATGGTATAACCCCATCGGTTAGTTTCGAAAATCGATGTTCGGTAAAACCTATCCAAAGATGAGCACTTCAAAATGTTAGTTCGAATTAGAAAAAAAAAGAAGAAAATTTTGGCTGTAGTGCTTTGACCTATGTACTTCCATTGAGTGAGTCGTAAACTCAATGTACGAGTATATCCTAGGAAAAAGTACACAGACAACGTTATCCAGACTTCCAGGTTGGAACATAGGTCTAGCCAACTTGTGGCCAACGATAGGAAGAATAGGGATCGTAGGATGAAGAAAGATATGAACATTTTTAAAGTGAGCAATCGTGGCCGAGAAATCTACCATCCGTAGTCTTAGCTTTTTAACCCCGCACTGTTCGAATCCTATCGACTTATTAGAGAATAAAGATGTAATAAATAACAGTTTAAAATTAAATAGTATATCATAACCTCGTTAGGATATTTTCAATTCAGAGAAAATTAAAAATTTTATCTAGACTGTGCAGCTACGAATTTCATCTTGCGCACACCCCCACAGGTTCACTGCAATATAATTCCCACACTACTTGTAAATAGTCAACACCTTTTTTATTTTAATATCCATATATTTTAATATCTATAATCAAAGAGTAAATAGCCAATGTTTGTATATAATTTTTTGACCAACGACCCGAGGGGTAAGAGGGAAGAGAGGAGAACAAAGGAGTTGGAAAATAAACAAAGGGAAAATGGCTGCGTTTCTTTTTGTCGCGTCTATTATTTCTTATATACAAATTTAGAGTTGTAAATTTATAATTATTCAAAGACTACCTTAATACGACATATATATATATATTCTGTTTAATAAAATAAATAAATATAAATTTGAATTCAAAATATATCAAAAATAATATTACAAATTAAAATAAAATAGGTACATTAACCATGATGCAACACTTCCCCCTCTCCAGAGGTCGTCACGTCCTCGTGAGTGACCTCATCAATTCTTTCAAAATAGGGTTTGAGTCTTGAGACATGGACTATCAAAGGGTCTTGGCTAGGAATATCTTTCGGCTCAATTAAGCAATTTACGTTGGACAGCTTCTTTAATATTCGATATGGGCCAAAATATTTTCTCAATAGCTTTTCACATTTTCCGATTTTCCTGATTGGTGTCCAAGCTGCCACTAGGTGTCCCGGTTCTTAGATTTTCTCATTGTGTTTTTGTCATAATTTATTTTCATTCTCTTTTGGGTCTTCTCTGTGTTGTTAACGACTACTTGTCTCGTCCTTGAAAATTTTCCAATTAATTATCTGTATATTCGTCGTAATCGACCACGTTACAGTCCATCGAAACATTCTCGTCGTCTAAGAGGGACATGGGCTCCCTTCCAAACAACATGAAAAATGGAGAGTAGCCTGTGGTTTCTTGATTCGTGGTGTCGTATGCCTGGGTGATAAAAGGGATGATTTCGTTCCAGTTCTTCTGGTGTGTGTTCACATACATGCTGATCATATTGATTGAAGTTCTATTTAGCCGTTCCGTTAGTCCGTTAGTCTAAGGGCGGTAGCTCGTTGTGAAGCAATGTTTAACTTTGCACATTTTCATTACCTCCTTCATCAAATTGCTAGTGAATTGTGGACCTCTGTCACTAATAAGAAATTTTGGGGCCCCATGACGTGAAAAAATTTGTTCGATTAAAAAGGTATAGACTTCTTTCACTGTTGCTTCTGATACTGCCTTTGTTTCAGCATACTTGGAATAATAATACATCAACACAATTATCCATTTCCTTCTTGTTTTCGTTGATGGCAAGGGGCCAACAAAGTCAATTCCGATTCTTTCAAAAGGGTAGCAAGCTGGGAGAATAGGTTAGAAAAGTCCAGAAGGCAACTGATTTGAACCTTTCCGACTTTGGCAAAGGTGGCACGTCTTTACAAATTCGGAAACATCTTTCAGCATGGAAGGCCAATAGTATTTATTCTTCAATCGGTATGTGGTTTTGGCGACGCCCAGATGGTCATTCAGCATATATTTGTGGTATTCACTCATGATTTCCTTCCTTCTCTTCTTTGGCACTACCAGCAACCATGCCCTACCTTCAGGATTTGGATTTTTCTTGTAGAGACACCCATTATATTCTTTAAAGTTCTGTTAATAATTAAACGATTGTTTCCACTAAGGTGTTCTCCTTAATATTCTCAATAAAAGCATCTTTTTCGTCTATTATTTGATTCAGAAATAGTCCTTCATAATCTTCGTCCCATTCGTTTTCCGGTAAGGGTCCTCTAGATAGACCATCAGCGTCCAGATGTTTTTTTCTCGATTTGTGTATAATTTTGAAATTATATTCCTGAATCTTCAGTGCCCATCGTGCTAATCGACCTGTCGGATCTTTCAGATTCTTGAGCCTACATAAAGCGTGATGGTATATTACTATCTTGAAATGTCTTCTATATAAATAGGGCCGTAATTTTTATATCGACCACACCACAGCTAAACATTCCTTTTCGATGGTTGAATTGTTTTGCTCAGGTTTACTTAGGGGTCGGCTCAAATACGATATTACCTTCTCTTCGCAACCGATATTTTGAATTAGTTTTGCGCCTAAGCCGATGTTAGAGGCGTCTGTATGAATGCAGGTGGCTGCATTTGGATCAAAGTGACCCAAAATTGGCGGATTTATAAGAGCTTTTTTAAGGTTTTGGAACGCTTCTTCCTGTTTTCCTGTCCAGATGAATTGAGCATTTTTTCTAATGAGACTGGTCAATGGGTCAGCGATTAATGAGAAATCTTTAATGAATTTTCTATAATATGAGCACATTCCTAGGAATGATTGCACTTCTTTGGCCTTCTTGGGCTGAGGAAAATCTCTAACGGCTTTGATATTATATTTGGCAGGTTTTATACCCTCTTGATTGGTTATATGACCAAGGATCTCAAGTTCCTAGAAAGCAAATCTGCATTTCTTGGCGTTCAGTTTCAAATTAGATTCGCTGAAGCATCTGAAGACAGCTTCAAGTCTTTTAATGTGGGTTGAAAAGTCCGAGCTGTATATAATTACATCGTCCAGATAGCAAAGGCAAATCTGCCATATCAGATTTCCAAGGACATTGTCCATGTTTTCTCAAAAGTAGCAGGGGCGTTGCATAGACCGAAGGGCATTACTTTGAATTCATATAACCCATGTGCCGTAGTGAAAGCCGTCTTCTTTTTGTCTCTCTCTTTAATTTCGTATTGCCAATATCCCGATTTGAGATCTATTGCTGAGAAGTACTTGGATCTCTGGAGAGTATCCATTACATCATCAATTCTTGGGTTTGGATGAACACCCTTCACTGTTACTTCATTTAATTTCCTGTAGTCCACAAAAAATCTGTATTTGTCATCTCGTTTTTTGACCAGTATAACGGTAAAGGACAATGGACTTGAAGATGGTCAAATTAATTCCTTCTTCAAGCATCTCGTCTATTTGATCCTTTATAATGGTTCGTTCCTTAGCGCTTACCCTAGAAGGCTAGTGCTTTATCGGTTTTGCATCTTCTGTATGAATCCAATGTTTTGCCAAATTGGTCCTGCCTAACCTCAATGAAAACAAATCAGTATACTTGGCCAAAATTTGTTTCAACCTCTCTTGTTCTTTGAATGATAAATTTTTGTTTATTTGAAATTGTATTTCGTCATTTTCATTCTGCTTCTCTGCTTCTGGATCTATTGTCATGAAATTAACTTTGAGATTTTGGCTTCGACTTTGCCCCACACTTATTTGTCTCACTTTAGAAGTTCTCTTCTAAAGAAAAATTGGAATTAGCTCTACCCAAAGTCTTCCAAGCATCTTAAAAGATGAAGGACTTCCACCTGGAAGAAAATGCGAGAATTGATTTGCTCTACAAAACGAATTTCAAGAATATTCCAAATATGAACCGGTCAATCAGCTCAAATGGAGAAATATTACGCAGAAATTATAAATCCTTCACACAACCAACTAGTTACATACATTTAAAAATCAATCACAACCGAGAAATATTTGATGTCCAATCTGCTACTTATAAGCATTGTGGTGTTCTTTCCTCAAACCTTCTCAAAACTCTGTAGAAGTAATCATCCCTCTCAACCTGGGATCTGGGCAAAACTTAATACAGGACGATGCGCCATTTTCTACCGCTCTATGGTACAAACAGAAAGATACAGCTTCCATTAACATCGAATTGTAACAACGCTTCGATCGACATTATACTAACTTCTTAAAACAGCATAAAATATAAATATTTACTCTAAAATATTTCCACTTCTATATATAAGGCTGATTGTGGATTTTGAGTGAAAATAATTTATGTTACTAGAATTTCCAATAAAATGAGATATTCATATTTTATTTCTTTCATTGTTGTATTCTATTATTTTCATCTTAATATAAACACGACATTTGAAATATTAAATTTATAAAATAGAATATATATACCTCAATTTTTTAAATATATATTATAATGAAAAACAATAGGAAAAATGAAAGTGGGTTACGCAAGTTTGGCCTTAAATACACATTTCTTGGTTTTTCGGGAAGCCATTGGGATCAAAAATGATTTTTTGGTCGCAATGGTTCAGCCTACTCCACGCTGACGAGCGCCAAAAGCGCAAAACGCGTTCGTGAATGGCTTTTCTTGATTTATCAAGAAATTGGGTTAGCCAAATATCAGGGAACAGGCTAAATCAATGTATAGTTGATTTCTGTTCCACCAGATGGCGCTCTGCCTTCTGTAAAGCACACGTGCTCCTGGTCAGGATATGCCATTTTTAATATTGATTTCAACGCCTGATCTTTTCATCTTTTTTTTTTCTTTCGATTTTTCATGTGCTAAGCGTATTTACGCAAGTTTGGCCTTAAATACCCATTTCTTGGTTTTTCAAGAAGCCATTGGGGAGACAAAAAATATTTTTTGGTCGCAGTGGTTCAGCCTACTCCACGCTGACGAGCGCCAAAAGCGCGAAACGCGTTCGTGGATGGCTTTTCTTGATTTATCAAGAAATTGGATTGGCCAAATTACAGGGAACAGGCTAAATCAATGTTTAGTTGAATTCTGTTCCACCAGATGGCGCTCTGCCTTCTGTAAAGCACATGTGCTCCTGGTCAGGATATGCCATTTTTAATATATATATATATATATATATATATATATATATATATAATATGGATTATATACACTATGAACAATAAATATGGCGCCTCTGCCAGCGCTGCAGAGTTTGGTGGAGAATCGCCAGTGGGTCTCCAGCTACACTACGCATTTCGCGATCTATGAAGAATAAGTAGGCTGAGGAGATGGTGATGGCGTGGTCCTCGAGACCAACTGGAAAGATCCAGGACTGCAGGTCCGGCGGCCGGCCGATGATGGAGAACACCTCTCGGATGACAGGGCGAACGGCGCTGCAGGACCAGTAACGGTGGGGCAGCGACAGGTCGATGGGACCGCAGGCGATGCAGACAGGCTAACTCGACGCCAGGTGCTCCGGATGGGGCAGGGCGTGCTGGGCCAGTCGCATTGCGATGTCCGCCACATGGCCCCTGAAGGAGCAGCGACGTATAGATGAGAAGGGCACACCAGAGGAGGGCACGTCGAACACAGGCGCCCAGCGTCGGAGATACTGTGAGGTGGGAACGTAGGCCAGGCGGGGATGCTCCAGCATGCGTCACGCCGTGCGTGTGCATATGCACAGGAACGTAGTAGCTGTCCCGCGCAGCACCACGGCTTCTTCCAAGGACCTCTCCTGGTAATCGCTCCTAGCATTCTTGTTCAGCAGCCGCTGGCAGAATGATCCAAGGGCAGCTGCGTCCTCGTGGACACTCCTTGTCGTCCTGGTATTGAGCGGCGGATCAAGGCCGGCCATGTCTCGGACTCGCACTCCGACCCACCTTGAGCGAGCTCGAAGCGATGGAGTCGCCAGGAACCTGCAGGCGCCACCTAGAGACCATTGTTTCGGGCTAATGGCCCTCGTCAGCTTAGGGCGGACTTTATTCCATGAGATCCACACGGGATTGTGAAGATTCCATGAGATCCACACGCCCAGCCACCGGGCCAGCAAAACACCTCTTTGGTAGATTGTGAAGATTCCATTAGATCCCGTGTGGATCTCATGGAATAAAGTCCGCCCTAAGCTGACGAGGGCCATTAGCCCGAAACCATGGTCTCTAGGTGGACGCTTTTCAGTTTGCCAAAGCTGATGTTGTGGCTTTGTCGCCGACCCGAGGCCACTAGTTTGCGGCGACGGTCAATAGATGGCGTCAGCTTTTGACGTTAATTTTAACGGGAGAGGCGCCCTATGCTTTCATGGATCAATTTCCTCCCGGCAAATCTTACATATCACTTTCAACCCCAATGACGTGGATCCACGTCATTGCTATTAAAGCACCAAACCCCAATGACGTGGTTCACGTCATGAAACTTTAAAAATCAATAGAAAATCGGGTGGCAATCCACGTCATTGGGCACCTGGCCCCAACAACTTTTCGCGGCCGTCTCATGATGACATGACCTTGACAGGCGCCTCCCCTCCCTCTCGCCCCCCTTCCACCCCCTTTACATCATGGCACACGTGATTTCCCACTTCCTGCCTCTTCTGTAAACAACTGCAGTGTGCTCAACTTACCTATTTATAGCGCTCTTGTTTTTTTGTCTTATTTTTAATATCTTTCACTTATAAAATACTTTTTTTGAAGGATTATTTTCATTTTATGATGGATCCTAGTCAACCAAGCACCTCCAAATTGGTAGGTCCATTTTATAAATATTCTCTTGATGAAAAACATCTAGACGAATTTTGCTCTGATTCTGGGTCTGAAATTGATGATCCAGTTGTTGATCCAGATTATGTTGAATGCCTGGATTCAGATGAAACTGAAATATATGATTTGGAAGAAGGAGAATTTGCTCAGCCTCCATCTAAGCAAAGGAGACTTGAAGAGCCCCAGGATGAGGGTTGGGCAAATGTTCGGAATCCCTCAGTAAACTGTCCGGTTTTCTTAGACCAACCTGGACCTAAAATGGATTTTTTTACACAAACAATGTCCCCATATAATATTTTCAAAACTTTTACAATTGATTACAATTGATAAACAGAAGAAAAGGGGTCCTCTCAAGGCATATAGCTTTCTGGCTAATTGGAAAGCTGTGTCAATTGCAGAAATAAAGTTATTTTTTGCCTGCATTATACACATGTGCCTTGTTATAAAGCCAAGAATGAAAGATTACTGGTCCGCCAATTCTGTCCTCAATACCACTTTCTGTAAAAAAATAATGGCTAGAAATAGGTTCGAAGCAATTTTGTCAATGCTTCACCTGGCTGATAATTCTTCCTATATTCCTTTTGGACAAAGTGGACATGATCCTCTATATAAAATAAGAACTTTTCTAGATCCTCTTACCAAAAAATTCCAATGCCTTTATTCCCCGACCCAGAATCTGACCATTGATGAAGCTATTTGTCCATTCAGAGGAAGAATAAGGTTCCGTATTTACATAAAAGGCAAGCCTCACAAATATGGAATAAAGATCTACCATATTTGTGAAGCCAATTCTGGTTATACCTGTAATATCAACATATACACAGGTAAACATCCAAGCCAGGAAGAAGGCTATAACTCTATACCAAATTTGGTAGAACGATTGGCCTCTCATCTCTTCACCAGAGGTCACATCATTTATTGTGACAGGTGGTTTTCTTCGCCCCACCTCTTCAACTATCTATGGGAAAAGAAAACAATGGCTGTTGGTACAGTAAAAACTAATAGGAAAGGTCTTCCTAAGAAATCCTTTTCAAAAAAATTGAAGAAAGGTGAAGAAATGCATCAATTCAAGGGTAGCCTAATGGCAATGAAATGGCGCCACACCAGAGATGTTTGGATGATCTCAACTGTTCACGACCATCAAATGGTTGAAGTCATGGGGAGGTCTGGACTTTCTCAAGCTCCAATATTCAAACCACAAGTTGTTCTTGACTACAATATGAATAAAATTGGAGTGGACCGAAGTGACCAGATGCTCTCCTATTATTCTTTTGATCGACGCACAATGAAATGGTGGAAGAAACTATTTTTCCATATATATGGACTTGCTATTGTAAATTCATGCATAATTTACAATAAATTGAATCCTGATGCTAAAATGTCTTTGAGGGACTTCCATATTTCAATATGCGAAGCTCTTTGCTCAGAAGCCAATCAAGATATTCTTGATGCTCAACCTTCAAGCGATGAACAATCTGATCGACTTATTGGACGTCATTTTATTCGCCGAATCAAAGTTGAAGGCAAAACATATGCCCAACGCAGATGCAAAGTTTGCGCTGAAAAAGGCAGGGTAACCTCTGGCAAGCAGGCAAGAAAAGATACAGCCTATGAATGTGAGACCTGCCTAGTTCCACTATGCCTTGGTGATTGCTTCAAACTTTACCATACAATAAAAGATTATTATAAGGTATAAAAATTATTTTATCGCAGTAAATTATTGTATATATATATAAATTACTTCATTTTTTAAAAAATAAATGTCATTTTCATTATATAAATTTATTTTTGGATCATTTTTGAGTTGGAGTGATTTTCATCTATATATATAAAATTGAATGTCTGTGTGTGTGTCCTCTATGGATTCAAAAACCATACATCCAATCGCCGTGAAATTTTGGGATATTATTAGGTGTATCCCCGGAAAGGTTTACGAAAAATAATATCTTGAATATCTTTAATATCCTTAGAGTTATTTGCAGATTTGTAGCTTTAACTCGCAAGCAGCGCCGCCATTGAGACAGAGATAGGCTTAGGTTTGCTGCTCCTGATGACCTTGGGTCTGCCCCACCCCGTGAGAGAATGGATTCGCCCGACCGCCGGCCGCCCACCGACCAATCAGGGCAGAGTTGGTGACACAGCTATGCCAAGTAGACAAGAAAAAAAGCCTCGCGGGAGCTTGCCCAAGATGACCTCCGGGAACTTCGTCCATCTTCCATAAACGACCATGAATTTATTCAACCTTATCGAGTATTTTTCAAGGGACCGGGAAAAAAATGTTCACTAGATAAAACGATGATTTTGTAATGTAGAAAATTAGGAAAGCCAAAATTCAGAATGACACGGCACACAGGGACCGGGAAAAAATGATCATTTTATCAGTTTCAAATTATCAAAATATATCTATTTCTTTTTATAAGTTTATAGAGAATTGTTTTAACAAATGTTCGTTAGACAGACCTTTACTCGGGTACCGATTAATATTGATTTTATTCAACTTATCGAGTATTTTTCAAGGGACCGGGAAAAAATGTTCACTTTATCGAGAGATTCGTTAGACAAACCTTTACTCGGGTAAAACACGGGCGAAGCCGGGTACATCCGCTAGTTTTTGAATAAAATTTTGATTTTTTCAAAATTTAATAATAAAATATATATTGAATTTATTTTTAAAATTTATCTTTTATAATGTTTTCAACACTTATTTTTACCATTATTACAATTAATATTTCATTTGGATCATGCTTAAAGTATTTTTCAAAATTTTCAAAAATTACACTTTTTAGCTGGGCCGAGGGGGCCGTAATAGTATTTCAGCTTCGTCCTCTGAGTGATATATATATATATATTAAAAATAGAGAAGGCATCTCCTGACCACGAGCACATGTGCTTTTAAAATGGCAGAGCGCCGTCTAGTGGAGCACAAATAAACTAAACATTTATTTAGCTTGCTCCGTGATATTTGGCCAACCCAATTTCTTGACAAATCAAAAAAAGCCATCCACGAACGCGTTTCGCGCTGTTGGCGCTCGCCAGCGTGGAGTAGGCTGTAACCACTGCGACCAAAAATATTTTTGTTCTCAATGGCTTCTTGAGAAATCAAGAAATGGGTATTTAAGGCCAAATTTGCGTATAGACGCTTAACACATGAAAAAACAATATAAAACATTAAAAGATAAGTGGGTCAGGTGTTGATATTAAAAATGAAGAAGGCATCTCCTGACCACGAGCACATGTGCTTTTTAGATGGCAGAGCGCCATCTAGTGGAGCAAAAATAAACTAAACGTTTATTCAGCTTGCTCCGTGATATTTAGCCAACCCAATTTCTTGACAAAACGCGAAACGCGTTCGTGGATGGCTATTCTTGATATATATATATGTAGTAATGTAGTTGTTGTATCTTGTTGGATGAATGCAGTGTGGCATGTTGATTTGCAGTCGTGGTGGCCACAATGATTAGACTGGTTTCAGGCGTGATTGGGATTACACAAAAGGACGAGACATGTTGGATGGCACCATAGAGATGGCGAGAGAGCCAGTGTAGCCGACGCCGGTCAGGGCAGAACTCTGTCATTCCTGTCTCAAAGCGGACTAATCTGTTTGCATAAGAAGGGGGCATACCCGACTTGTTTTTCGGACCCGTTTCTGGCTTTCTGGCGCCGACTGTAACTCACTCGATTTTATTTGGCAATTACATATACATCTATACAATACATGGAGACATAGATATATATTGGAATATATTACAACAGTTTATGCCCCGGTTGATGAAAATTAGCTTATGGTGATTATAGATGAAGTCATAAGATAATTATAATGGGGGGAAATAATTTGTGTACAAATTGGTTTGATATATATTATGGGGTTGTAGAATTATAACATTGGGTATGTTTTCCTTAATAATAATGATTAATAATAAAAAGAGAAATGTTAACAAATAATAATGATAAGCCCAATGTATAAAAATATATGAAAAAGGATTAAAAAATATAAAGATATTGTAGCGTAGAAATCAAGTCTTGAAATATGCTAAGATGTAAAAGTATTTATTGATGACGTCACAGCGACGAGTCGACAATTATTAACAAGTCAGCAAAACTATATACCGCTAGAGAATCTTAAGCAAGCAAGCAAAGAAATATTTTAAAGATGATTTCACAAATACAGATTAATATATATTTTTATAATCTGTTGAATATATTTTCATTGAATAATATTAAATTAAATAACAAAAATATTTCTTCGCCACATAGCCTCCTCCTATAAAGAGCATCGACCCGATGCTCAGAAGGAGACTTACATCCTCAGTCTCAAGGCTCGAGAACGGGTGATAGGGCCTGAGATCTCTTCGCGGGTCTGTGGTTGTTGTGTTTGTTCAGTGGGGATGTCTTCTTCCTGGAAGTTTGTCGAGTCATCTTCTGGGTCCTCTTCTAGCTGGTCCTCCTGGTCCTCTGGGTTTAAATAAGGTTTCATCCTACAAATGTGAACTAAATATTTTGTTTTACGACGACCTTGCTGGTTTCCAAATGTTTCAACTTCATAGGTCACATCAGATATTTTTCGGATTACTTTGTATGGGCCGAAGTAACGTCTCATTAGTTTTTCCGAATATCCCACTTTACGCACAGGAATAAAGATCCATAAAAGATCTCCAGGCTGATAAATTATATTTCTGTAATGGGCGTCATAGCGATGTTTATTGCTATCTTGAGATCTCATGGAGTGGATACGTGCCAGTTTTCGTGCTTCTTCGGCTCTTGCCCCTAGAGTTTGGATGAAATCGTCGTCTTCTGGCAATAACTTGGGGAATAACACGTCAAGTGGAGTCTCGGCTTCACGCCCGTGTACAAGGAAAAATGGGGTGAACCCAGTAGACTCTTGTTTTGCTGTGTTGTATGCAAATGTAACGAATGGAAGAATCCTGTCCCAATCTTTCTGGTTGACATCTACATACATGGACAGCATGTCTGCTATGGTCTTATTCAACCTCTCCGTGAGTCCGTTTGTCTGGGGGTAATAGGCGGTCGTCTTCCGATGGGTTATTCTGCACTGGTTGTTCAGATCACTTATCATTGAAGATGTGAAGTTCCTTCCTCTATCCGTGATTAATTCCCTCGGCGCGCCGTGCTTTAAGATGACATCTTCAATGAAGAATTTGGCGACTTCCATGGATTCACTTGTGGTTAGAGCTTTAGTTATCGCATATTTCGTTAGGTAGTCCGTACATACAATAATCCAACGGTTGCCACCTTCTGATGTTGGAAATCTCCCCAGGAGATCCATTCCTACCTTTTCAAAGGCAACTTCAGGAACAGGTATTGGCTGTAAGTGCCCTGAGGGGAGTTGGGGCTGATGTTTACGCCTCTGACAATCTGAACAGTGTGCCACATAGCTTCTAACCGTTCTATACATTCCGGGCCATTAATACTTTTTCTTATTCGGTCATAGGTTTTAGTAAATCCGAGGTGACCAGCTGTGGGTGAATCATGGACATTTTTCAGTAATTCCTGCCTTAAATGGCGTGGAACCACCAAAAGCCATGGTTTCCCCATTGGATCATATTTTTTTCTGTAGAGCGTGTTATCGATTTTTACAAAGGATTTATTAGGAGAACTTTGTAATTTATCAGCGATTTTTCTAATAGCTTGATCATTCATCTGCTCTTCGCTAAAGTTCTGCAAAGTCACTATGCTTGGAATATCTTCCTCCATATCTTCACTGTATTCTAATGGACTTCTTGATAAGCAGTCTGCGTCCTGATGTTTCCTTCCGCTCTTATACACGACAGTGACGTCAAACTCTTGCAGCCGAAGTGCCCATCTTGCTAACCTCCCACATGGGTCTTTGAGGTTGGTCAGCCAGCACAAAGAGTGGTGGTCTGTAACAATAGTGAACGGCTGTCCAAAGACATATGGTCGGAATTTATTGATAGCCCAAATGATGGCAAGGCATTCCCTTTCTGTGGTTGAATAATTTTTTTCTGCCTTATTTAAGGTTCTGGATGCATAAGCAATGGCTCTTTCCTTTCCCTTTTGTATCTGCACTAATACTGCTCCTATTCCGTAGTTGCTTGCGTCAGTGTGTATTTCGGTTGGGGATGAGTAATCAAAATGTCCAAGAGCGGGTTCGGAAATTAACGCTGACTTGAGAGCTTCAAATGCATTTTGCTCTTCCTGGTTCCAATTAAATGCTGAGTCTTTCTTCAAAAGGTCATTCAAGGGTTGGGCTACGTGGGCATAATTTGGTATGAAGCGGCGGTAGTAGGATGAAAGGCCAAGAAAACTTCTAACTTCCTTCAATGACCTTGGCGTAGCGAAGTCGCGGACTGTTCGAATCTTTTCTTGGTCGGGACGAATTCCATTTTCACTCACCTCATGTCCAAGAACCGTGATAGTTTTTGCACCAAACTTGCATTTCTTGGAATTGAGACATAATCCGGCTTTCTTAAGGCAATTTAATACAAGTTGAAGGCGTCTTAGGTGTTCTTCAAAGCCATTTGAAAAAACGATGATGTCATCGAGGTAACACAAGCAAATGGTCCACTTAAGACCCTTCAGAAGATTATCTATCATTCGTTCGAAGGTAGCTGGAGCATTACATAACCCAAATGGCATTACTTTGAACTCGTACAGTCCATCTGGAGTTATGAATGCTGTCTTCTCACGGTCCGATTCTTCTACATCGATTTGCCAGTACCCTGATTGGAGGTCCATGGAAGAATAAAATCTAGCTCCCCGTAAGCAGTCTAAAGTGTCGTCGATCCTTGGGAGAGGGTAGACATCCTTTTTTGTTATTTTGTTAAGGCGGCGGTAATCGACGCAGAATCTCCAGCTTCCATCCTTTTTTCTTATCAATACTACAGGCGAGGCCCACGGACTTTCAGAGGGCTGAATGATGTCAAGTTTTTCCATCTTGTTTACCTCATCCTGAATAATTTGGCGTTCTCTTGGTGCAACTTGGTAAGGTCTTTGTTTGTTCGGTAGGTGGTCTCCAGTGTTAATTCGGTGTTTAACAGTGACGTCCTTGAATTGTTTTCTTTTACTAAATTCGAAAATATCCGTATAGTTTTTTTAACAAATTTCTTAATTTTTCTTTTTGAGATTCATCAAGTGAATCATCTATAAAAAATTCCGAGATTTTTGGGTCTTCAGAATGTTCCGCCTCTGTTTCAACTTGGTTACAATCAGCTAGAGTACATAATTGACTATCTTCGATGACAGCACTATCGGCTACATGCATCCCCTGTGGGATTAGTTTCGGATATGGACTCCAATTCACCACCCAAAGTTTACCTCGGTTATTGGTAAGTGAAATGACAGAGGAGGGAGCCGTTAGTTCTCTTTCCAGCAATAGCTCTTTTCGACATTCTGCCACCACAATTGCGTCATTAGGAATGTCACGACTTGCTTCTTCTATTAACTGAATAGAGGCGGGTTCGATTCTATATTCCAATTCCGAGTAGAGAGGTGAGCTGTTCTTAGGGGTATCCTCGAAAAGACATTTTTCTAAGAAGAGTGTGTCGTCAGCTGAATCAATTATCGCCCTAGATAACTTCAAAAAGTTCCAACCAAGAATAACTTCGTGACTACAGTCTTCCATAACGACAAATTCAAAGCTTTCCTGTAGTCCATTCAAGTCCAGTTTCAGTGTGCAGCGTCCTTTTGGTCTTACAATTTTACCGTTGGCTACTCGTAATGTGACGTCAGTTTCGGCAAACATTATTTCTCTTAGTTTAAGTCTGAACCTCTCAGAAATGACAGAATATGAGGCTCCTGAGTCGACGAGGGCACGCGTCATTTTTCCTTCTATTTTAATGTCTATGTAATTTTCTTTTAATTCTAATGTGGTCGACAAGGGAGAATTTATAAATTTTGCGTCCTTACCTCCAAAATAGGACGCATCTTCTAGTTTTCCTGACGGGAACGGCGAGGTGACTGGCTGGGTCTTCTATCAGGAGACGAATATTGTCCTTTTCGGCCAGTGTAAGGAGAGGGGCTTCGGTAGCGGCGTCTATTTTCTCTTGGCAGGTCGTCGTTGGGCTCTTGGCTGCTCCGAGAATTATAGAATGTTCTAGGCTCTAGCCTATCTCTCTGCTTGTAATTCCAAGTTTGTTCTCCTTCATATTCTCTCCTCCTGTCACGGCAGTAGCGCACGACGTGGCCAGGGCGTCCGCAGTGGAAACAGATTGGCTTACCTTCCGTGGTTCGCCATTCGTTGGTATCGCGTCTTTCGTTTACTTGTTTTGGCTACTGCGGTCTTATCGTTTGAGCCATATATCTATTATTATAAAACTCTCGGGGTCTTTCCTTCTGTGGGGAACTTCTCCTAGGCTTTGAGATTGGCGCCAGGGTTCTTCCAATCTCCTCCTTTACCATATCTTCGATGGTAGAAATTTTTGGTTCCTCTCGAGTAGAGCCTAATGCCCGCTGTACCTCCTCACGAACAATTTGCCTGATCATAGATGACAGATCTGCCCTGTCTTCATGATCACTGAGAGATGCCACATTTGGTAGTCGCTCGTATTTGGTAGGGGTCACTCGCTTACAGTGTAGGCTTTCAATGCGGCGACATTCGGTGACGAATTGCTCAGTGTTATGCACATCCCTTGGGAGAAGTGCCTGGTAGAGCTCCTCAGCTATCCCTTTCATCAGATGGGATATTTTATCTTCCTCATTCATTTGTGGATCTACCTCTTTGCAAAGGCGCAGGACGTCTTGGATGTAATATTCGGTGCTTTCTCCTTTTAATTGTGCGCGAGTTTTGAGTATTTTCTCAGCTCGCAGTCTTTAGCTTTCATTTTTTCCAAATACATTTTCTAATTGTGACATGAACTCCGTCCATGTCTGGATGCTTTCCTCGTTGTTTTCATACCATTTGAGAGCAGTGCCAGTAAGATAGAAATAAACGTTAGCGAGACAAAGGGTTTCATCCCATTGGTTGTGCTTCGCCACACGTTCATACCCTTTTAACCAGCTACGGGGATCTTCAACACCCTCACCAGAGAACATTGAGGGGTTTCTAGGTAGATGTTGGACAAAAAATGAACCTACCTGAGTAGTTGCTTCTTTCTTGATGTTCATGGTTTTTTCTTCTTGCTCAACCGAGTCAATTTTCCGTTTTTTTCTGAATGGGTATCGATCCAGCTTCTTCACCAGTTGTAGCGTAGAAATCAAGTCTTGAAATATCCTAAGATGTAAAAGTATTTATTGATGACGTCACAGCGACGAGTCGACAATTATTAACAAGTCAGCAAAACTATATACCGCTAGAGAATCTTAAGCAAGCAAGCAAAGAAATATTTTGAAGATGATTTCACAAATACAGATTAATATATATTTTTATAATCTGTTGAATATATTTTCATTGAATAATATTAAATTAAAAAATAAAATATTTCTTCGCCACAATATAAATATAAATTTGGGTGATTATATACAACATTGAATGTTGGAATTAATGATTGAAAGTGGATTGAATTATAGGGTGAGCTAATTTAAAAAGTCTAGATAGGTGGACATAGAATATATTCTGGTACTGCTATTCAATGCGACATTATGGGATTTAGGCATTGGTCCATCTACAGTATGCTGAAGGTATTCGATATAGGCTGTTCTATCAGACGGATTTGGGAATAGGTCGAGAAAAAGAGTGATAGAGAGTGTGGCAGATAGAGAGTCGTTCTGTCGCATAAAAAAAAAACGATTTGGCCGCGGTAAGGCAGTGGTGAAAATGAGGTGATTGAAAAGTGAAAAAAAAATTGCCCGAATGTGAGAGAAAAAAAAAAAAGATGCTCGAACCGGGCCGTGAATAAAAAAATACTCATCTAACTAGCTGCTCAAGTTCGACTGTTGGGAAGGTTACAGCGAAGAAGCGTTTGTAGTTAAGATGGAATCGAATGAGAAATCAAAGTTTTAGCGGATAGTAACGACCTATCTGAGAAGAAATGATGTGATTTAGTGAGAAATTGGAGAGTAATGGTGTCGATGCATTTTCTAAAATTTGAAATTAATAGTACAATAGTATATAAAAAGTAAAAAATGATTATAAACATTGAAGATTAAAATAAAAGTCATCATCTCTTTTGTTTATATAAAAATAAAAAGACAAATGTAAAAAAATGAAAAAACTCGAGATATATTTGAAATAATTCATTAATATAAATATGCGAAACATAAAAAAATATGTGAGTATTTGAAATTATCAAAAATAGAAAATTAATATGATATGAAAAGAAAGTAGCAATACTGAACATATTTTAAAGAAGGAAATATATATAACAGTTGGTGTTCAAGCCAAGACAATCTTTAAGTATACAGGGATTGACATTGATGTAGTTGATAGAACCTATGGTGATGTGCTATATGTTTATGGCATGGGGCATTTAGTTAGCTCGGTGTTCATACGTCGATGTGCTTCGACATGAGTTTTGGCTTAGTAAAAGTATTGTTCACGAAGTGTTAGGTTAAGATATGTTCTTGATGAGACTTGCGACGTGGACACGCTTTCGAGTGAGAAAAAAATGTGTCACAGGAAAAATGAAAGCATAATTCAGCCTGGTAAAAGTGAAAAAAAAAGTTTTGTCGAGTCGCCGTGACACGTGCGAAGAAAAAAAAATTGTAAATGGAAAGGTGTCACGTGAAAACGTTGTTTGGGTAAATAATCTAGCCTAATTCATCATGAACAACAAGTTTACTGAAGTCATAGGTGGTGG